GGTTCAAAGAGACAAGTGCCGACTGATTCTTGACCTCAGAAGAGTAAACCAAAATCTGAGCATCCCCAAATTCAAGTACGAGGGATTGAAACGGGTGGCGGAGCTCGTCAGCATAGGCGATTGGATGTTCGCTGTCGACCTCAAATCAGGATACCACCACGTCGACATCCATCCGTCATGCTGGAAGTACCTGGGATTCCAATTCGACGGGCGCTCATACGTCTTTCGGTCCCTCCTTTTCGGCCTCGCGACGGCCCCATTTGTATTCACGCAACTTATCAAGCAGCTCGCCCGCCGCTGGCGGGCCCTCGGGGTACGAGTCATCCCGTACGTTGACGACATCATATTTTTGTGTCACACGGAAGCAGAGGCTCGAACTACGTGTCAGATGGTGGTGGAGGACCTCAACAAGGCGGGGCTAGTCATTAATTCTAAGAAGTCGCATCTGCAACCCACCCAGCAGCTGCGCTTTCTGGGTGTCGAACTGGATACTAAGCACGGCCAGTTCTCCATTGGTCCCGAGCGGCGTACATCGTTACGCTCGACCATTCAAGAACTTTGCATGGCAGGCAGAGCCAAGCGCAAGGTCCCGATCCGCCATGTAGCGAGGGTCACTGGCATGCTCGCTTCGATGTCACTTGCCATCGGCGCAACTGCGCGGGCATTTAGCCAGAACCTGCTGCAGACCATTCAGGAGGCCGCTTCATGGAACAGCAAGGTGCCATTAGTCCCCGCCGTAATCGAGGAACTCGAGTTTTGGCTGCAAGAATTCGACAAATTCAATGGCGCCTCCTTCCACGTCCCGAGCAGCTATGACGCAGTGATCCATGTGGACGCCAGCGCACACAGTTGGGGAGCCACACTAGACACGTTCCCGGGAGGGCGAACCGAGTGTCAAAATAGTAGCTAGAACAAGGAGCCATAGCTAGGGTTTACCTAGCTAGGCAAGAGAGAATTAGGCAAAGGAGGGTTTTCACTAGCAGCAGTTGGGATACATATAGCAAACCCTAACTGGGTTGTACCCGCTATAGAGCACCCCACTACAGGCTAGATAATAACATTCTGACACACCCCCATAGCCAAAGTGGGGTGTAATCAGCACAATGAGCAGGCATAGCAGGAGTTCACAATAATAAGCAAAGCTAGAGGTAATCACAGCGGGCAAGTAAGGAGGAGGAGGAACTGTGGAAGGAGAGAAGATGGGAGGCAACGACTGAAGCTGCAGAGGCACGGGCACAGGAGCGGCTGACTCAGTGGCTACCGAAGCAAGGGCGACGGACTACTGGAGTGACTGGCTCCGCGGCTAAGACGAGCGGCAGGAGCAACGGACCCACTGGCGACTGGTGCAACAGGCTCACTGGCTACCGAAACAAGGGCGACGGACTACAGGCGCTGCAGGCGACACGACAGCTACCTCCACACAACCTCCTCCACCTGACCCACACCCTTGACACACACCCCCTGCTGAACCCCTAACTCCACTCCCACGTCACCCCCCTAGCACCACTCCCTCGGCTCCCACACACCCACCCCCCTCAGCGGCAGCTGCAGCAGTGGGAGACGGAGGAGGAGGAGGAGCAGGTGACGGCTCACACACCCGCCACCCCCATACCCGTCACCCCCATACCCTGAGTGTGCGGTAAGCGAGCTCAGGTGTGCGCGAAGCGTGCACAAGCGTGCGGGAAGCGAACTCGGGTGTGCGGAAAGCGAACTCAGGTGTGCGGGGAGGGGGGGCCGCAGGGTGACGCGCGGGTCGACGGGGACGGGCGCACGGGTCCCCGGGGGCGGAGCGCGGGTCGACGGGGCCGCCGCGAAGGGCGACGGGGAGCCGCGCGCGGGTCGACGGGGCCGTCGCGAAGGGCGATGGGGAGCCGCGTGCGGGTCGACGGGGCCGCCGCGAAGGGCGATGAGGGGCCGCGCGCGGGTTGACGGGGCCGCCGCGAAGAGCGACGGAGAGCCGCGCGCAGGTCGACGGAGACGGGCGCGCGGGTCGACGGAACGCGAAACCGCCGCGCGTGCCCAGGGTGCGCGGCGGGCAGGAAACCGCCACGCGTCCCGAGCGCAGGGCAGGCAGAAAACCGCTGCGCGCCACGAGCGCGCGGCGGGATGAAAAAGTGTCGCGCGCCCGGGGCGCGCGACCAGCAGAACAGTAGCAGCAGAAGCAGTAGGCGGGCCCACAGGCCAAGAGCGTAACAGCTCTGATTCCATGTCAGAGTTAGTAGCTAGAACAAGGAGCCATAGCTAGGGTTTACCTAGCTAGGCAAGAGAGAATTAGGCAAAGGAGGGTTTTCACTAGCAGCAGTTGGGATACATATAGCAAACCCTAACTGGGTTGTACCCGCTATAGAGCACCCCACTACAGGCTAGATAATAACATTCTGACACCGAGGCGAATGCAGCAATGCCCGAGCATCTCACAAGGACCTCGAGCACGCAACGAGAAATGGAAGGAGTTCTATGGGCTCTCCAAACGTTCGCGGGAGGGATCCACAACCGACACGTCCTAGCCAGAACTGACAACCAAGGCGTATTCTTCATTCTTCGCAAAGGCGGCTCTCGAAGCCCTAGTCTCACCACAACATGCAGAGCCATTATTCAAACGTGCATGGCCTCGAGGATTCACCTGACGGTCGAATGGATCCCACGCGAGCTCAACAGACGAGCGGACGAACTCTCCAAGATGATCGATCGAGATGACTACTCAATTAAAGCACCGTGGTTCCGCCTCATTGAGCGGCGTTTGGGACCGCACTCCATCGATCTATTCGCCAATGCAAGCAACACACAGTTAGCCCGCTTCTGTTCCAAAACACCTCACCCGGACGCAGAGGCTACCGACGCCTTCTCAATATCATGGAACGCTGAGCACGGTTATGCTTTCCCACCACCACACCTCATCCCAGCAGTGCTTCACCACGCCCAACGGACGCGAGCATCGCTCACGCTCGTAGTGCCTCATTGGCCAGGGGCAAGCTGGTGGCCGTTGCTACAAACCACCCCACCGAAGTGGGCCCCTTGCATTCGCGCTCACATCCACCTCACCCATGGGAGTCAGTGCCTCACCGCGGGCACCCACACTTGTGCCTTCTCTGGCGAAGGAATGCCTCATAGCCCTATTCTCGCTTTACGAGTGTCGTTCGCTACCTGACCTCTCACGAACCTGGTGCAGGATTACTTGAGAGGCTCAAGCAAGAATTGCTCCGTATAACTGCGCAAACACGGGCCGACTCTACGATTCGCACCTACGAGCCGTACTGGGCTAAGTTCCGCACGTTCTGCAAACGAGTCAAGCTACAGTTTCTGCCATGCACAGACATGACGCTCGCGTTATACCTGGTCCATGCGATTCAACAAAAAGCCACAGTATCAGTGATACATCTGACATGCTCGACAGTCAGCTTCGCACATCGGATGATCGGGGCCCCGTGCCCATCAACTGGGCCGTTCACATCCCAAGTGCGGGAATTCGCCAAGCGACATTGCCCGCGCCCCCGACGACTCAAAGAGCCCATCTCTTTGCACCAAGTCCACGAAATGGCGTCGGAATACCTAGAGTCAAACAACCCCGGCGAGTTCCAGAAGGGACTTATCCCAATCCTAATGTACGCCGGCTTTCTACGGTACTCAGACCTCGTCGAAATTAAGTGGCACGACATCCAGTTCGAGGAAGACGCCATGTGGCTCTTTATTCCCCGCTCAAAGACTGACCAGGCAGGAGAAGGTGCATGGGTTCCAGTAGCAGCAAGCTCAGGTCCCTTCTGCCCCGTACGGTGCACCAAGCGCTTCATCCAATTGGCGGGATACAACCATGCACAAAGAGGCCCGCTCATACGAGTTTTCGGTCAAGACACCACGAGTCTCGGCACTGCCGCCACTTCACCATCCTACACAACAATCCGCAACTGGTGCAAGGAGGCATTCCAAAAGATCGGCTTAGGTCTCGAGCATCTCGGCACCCACTCTTTTCGCAAAGGCGCAGCCACTGCCGCCGCCAACTCAGGAGTACCAGATCGCTTTTTGAAACAGTTGGGGCGGTGGCGCAGCGATACTGCCAAGGAGATGTACATCACCCCGGCGGTCGATCAGCTGGTCGAAGCGTCTCGACACGTTCAAGACCCGGCACGAGCCTCGTCACCAGTGCAACACTCAGCGGCTCTGATGCGACGACGACAACCTCCACTGCACATGTCTCAGAAGACCCATTTGAAATGAGACGATGCCATTGCTACATGAAAGAAAGCAAGCTTTCTAAATATGAATATTTTTAAAAGTGTAACGCTTTTCAAAATTTCGTATTTTGAAAGCGAAGCAGTCTGTAATGTAGGAATGGGCAGCGACGAACCGCGCTAAACGCCCGTTTTGGAGTACAAAACGTGGGCTGGAGGACATTTCCCTCCACCCACGTCTCTCATTTTCAAACGGTTTAGCCGATTTTCCCGCCCACCCACCCCTTGAAATGTGTTAGCACATTAGTCTGATAGGCTGCTTGGATTTCAAATTGTACTAAACCCATTTGAAATGAGACGATGCCATTGCTACATGAAAGAAAGCAAGCTTTCTAAATGCATCAGTACAGTCTGGCACTGGCATTTCAACGGAAGGTTTCATTCGTACCTCCAAAAGAGAGCTGTGCTGCGCCACCAATTAGCACAGTTTCTTGCCGCCGTGCCATACATTCGTACCTCGTAACAGCGGTGGTGTGGTGTGGTGACATATCACACCATACCAATTTTCTAGCAACCTGTCATCCCGGCAATTCAGAATGCTTTTTTTCACGACTTCATGCTCCTAAAAACCATAGCACACATCCGCCCCTCCTAACCTCCCTTCCCAGGGCTCTCTCCTCACGTTTAACACCCTTCGACTGCAGCCAAGAATGTATTTCAGCGATGCAGCAGAGTCAGCTATCAGCTGATGCAGCGCAACCACTAAGGACACTTCTGACTATCAAGTTGACTCCGAAATCACATTGGTTGACTGCTACTGTAGCACTTCAAACGTCATCCCTTCTTGTCCCTGATGTCTGGAGTCTCTGCTGCTGTTGCTGCTGCTGCTGCCGCTGCTGCTACTACTGCCACTGCCGCCGCTGCTGCTGCTGCCGCTGCTGCTACTACTGCCACTGCCGCCGCTGCTGCTGCTGCTGCTGCTACTGCTGCTGCTGCTGCTGCTGCTGCTGCTGCTGCTACTGCTCTGCTGAAGGCCCTCCCTGCTGCTGCTGCGGTGCCGGACGTGGTTTTCTTAAACGGGGCTTCACTGACTTCCGTAGCTTCGGCGCTGCTGCTGCTGCTGCTGCTTCAGATGGAGCTGAATCCACCGAGTCTCGAGGGGACATAGCTGAACCTGCACTGGCAGCAGGGCGTGTGGGAGGAGGGGTTGCCCCTACAGGAGCTCGTCTGCGGGGAGGAACAGCAAGCAGCGACTTGGAAGTACTGGCAGTAGCAGCCGCAGGAACAGCAGCAGAGGGAGTAACAGCAGGAGCAGCAGCAGAGGGAGCAGCCGCAGGAGCAGCAGCAGGAGTAGCAGGAGCAGGGGTAGCAGCAGCTGCATCAGCCGCTTCAGCCCCAGGCACAGCACCAGCAGCTGTAGCAGCAGGAGGAGAAGCAGGAGAGGAGGGGAGGTCAAGGTCGTCTCGGTTGGAAATAACTAGAGGTTCAGCAGTGCTCCATGGCACATCCACATCAATCACTGCACCCACTGCCGTGGTGTCAAGACAATGGTTGCCGCCCTTCTGCCACTCTATCTCGCCTCGCTTCCCCACCATCACGCACTTGAACGGCAGAGATGCATTGCGAGGCACCACCTGGGAGGGAGGGCAAGGCGCCAGAGAGTGGAAGGAAAGCGGTTGGGAAAGGTTGATTTCTTCTTAGGAGTCAGTACTTTCTGATTCTCCACTTACCCTTGCTTCCTCGCCATCACACGCCTGAACGCAGAGACATAATGCGAGGTACCAAGTGGGAGGGAGGGTCAGGGTGTCATGTACACAAGAGGTCGAAAGAGAGCGGTTGGGAAGAATTTATTTCGGTTGCGTCACCTTTGAGGTGACCCCCCTTGTCAAACCCCTTTGGGAAGCCCCGAAAGAGATCAATGAAGAAAGCTCGCCCCCCTAGCTGACGCTCGTTGCTGCAGAGTGTTGAGCTTGCTTGCTTTCAGCATGCTTAGCGTCACCTGAACGACCTGCCACTAGGCTGCACGACCTGCCACTAGGCTGCACGACCTGCCACTAGGCTGCAAGACCTGCCACTCGCCTGCACGACCTGCCGCTAGGCTATTTCGCAAAACCACGGTTGATGTCCATCATCTAGAAAGCAATGATCAGCGACGCGGGTTACCACCTCGACTGTTTCGCACAGTGAAAGTCCATGCAGGTTACCAATATGTGATTCGATTGGTTAGAACGGTATCCAATGGGGGTACCACTTGGGCTCTTTCAAACACTTATCAGGAGCACATTCAGTCAGTCAGTCAGTCAGACAATTTGATAGTCAGCCAGTGAGCCAATCAGTCTGTCCATCAGTCAGTCAGCCAGTCAGTCAGTCAGTCCGTCCGTCCGTCAGTTAGCCAGCCAGCCAGCCTGCCTGCCAGTCAGAAGGTCAGTCTCACCGCCGTGGCCGTCCAAACGTGCCCTTCCGACCACTGCGCAGGTATCGCCTTTTTCAGATCCCACCCGCCCAGCGTCTCGTGCGCGCCAGATACATAGAACTTCTGCCCATACGCGCACTGCCGGGCCAGACGGAACGCCACTGTCACCGACCCTCCCGGAGCCGCCGCTGCATGGTTCGCAGGTGGGGAAGACAAGTAGGCAGGTACGTAGGTGGTCACGGATATAAGTAGGTAGGGACGTAGTTAGGTAGGTAGACGAGAGAGTGTCCAACACGCATACGAATGAAGAGGACTAGCTGCGAGAGATACAGAAAAAAAAATGAATAAATGAAATGAAATAAAATAAAAATCGCGAGGGTGGATTAGCTGGTGCACTTTCAGAGGCCGTTTTCTTTCTGCGTGAAACAGCTGGGGTTTGCAGTGGGTTATGCACAGACGCTCAAACGAGAAGAAACAGTTGCCAGAATGAGAAGTAGAAGAAGATCCGGAAGAAGAGGCTTACATTCCACGCAGTCCCGCAAAAGAAAATGGGGACGGACATGTCGGGGAGCATACGCTACTTGCACAAGCACAGAAAATAGCACGTCGAACGGAATAACCACGAAAGCGGTATCCTCCTGCGCAGCACCACTGCGTAGCATCGCAAGTCAGCACCCCAGCGAATAAACGCAGCGCAACGGATTACCTGCGCTTGAGGACTCAGAAGATCCAGAAGCCGCGCGGATCAACGTCGCGTCTGGGGCTCTCGCTAACAGCGAACCACTCGCGAGCGACATGGGCAACACGAGAGTCCGACCGGAGAGGTCTCGATCTCGCATCGTCAAACCCGACTGCTGTGACGACGCGCGCCGGCTGCTCCTCGAACGCGCTGTCGCGCTAACGACACCAGAGGGTCTGCGACATGCGGGTGATGGCGTCATGACGTTGAATGGACCATGGTGGTGGAATGGTCTGCGACGCGTCACACATTCGGTGGTAACAAAAGCGCTTCTGGTGAAGCGGTGGTTGTTAGAGAGCGTCGATGCTGATGATGTTGCGGATGCTGTTGCTGATGCTGAGGACTCGGGAAGCATCTGGGCAATGGGCCGCCTGGCGGCATGTGGATTCGCGAGGCGGAGAAGCATTTTTTATGTAGAGTTGGAGAAAGTTCCCGCAGTTCTAAATCTTAAAAGCACGAGCACGTTGCTAATGGGAAAGAGAAGGTTGAGCGCAAACTATCTAGCCGAACTAAATAAACGTGTGTTGTTATAATAAAGAAGTGGGTCTATGATGCACACGAGACGAAAGAGTTAGAGACTGGATCAAGAGGTTTGAGAAAGCAAGATGAGAGACGAAGGAAATGGGAAAGTGATTAGGGGCTGGAGAAGATGAGGTGGCTGATGAGGAGGCGAACGGTGGGCGAATGTGTGGTCTGGTATGGTTTGGGACGGCGGTGTGGGGTTGGCTGTGCTGAGGCTGGAACACGAAAAATGGAGGGAGTAGATGGAGAATAGGGCCGAAATCAGTCGTCGAAGTCAATTTGCCCGTGACGAAGTTCGACAGAAACAGAGTGCTAAGCGCCAACTTGCTAACACAGGGAACAGCCTAGAGACTCAACTTGCTTCTGAGAGCGAAAGTAACAAAAAATACTGCGGTCCTAATTTGAAGGTGGAAGGTGGATCGACCCAGAAACACTGTGTGGAGGCTAGACTGTCGCATAGGGCTAACTGAACGCACACCCTCCGACGTGGCGGACTTTTCTGTGATCGAGGACCTGTGTTGGTGCCAGCTGTTTGAGATCGACGGACACTTTCTTCAACCCTCCGCGCTGATAGGCGGTATTCGAGCAAGGGCAGGGCGGATTGGAGGAGCTGATATCAAGATTTCAATGTCCCAACCGCGTGGCTGCACTTTATTAGTCATGTCAGCCTACCAAAGATCTTATCAAGCACAAGCAGCCTGGAGTGAGAAGGAATGAGGAAAAGTTCACTGTATCACCATGAGATTCGACGACTGAATACTGTAAATAGCATCATGAATCCCAGCCACATGAAGCAATCCTGCTCACTGTGATACTGTTACGGGTGCAATGGATCGAAGTAGCGAGAATTGCACTAAGGTGTCAAACGAGTACAAAGATGTGAGCGAAGGCATGAGCGAACATTTATATGCTAAGCATGCAAACGGTAACGCGGTGCGTGCGAGCTAGCCAGTGCTATGCTGGCAGCGAGGCTCGGGCTAGTCCCGAAGCGTAGGCCGACACGGCCGGGCCAGCAGTGCGAGGTTTGGTGAAACAGTGCGCGCGAAGTCGGCGAAGTTCCGTTAGCAGTAACGGGCGAACAACGGCTGTTGCTGTACGCGATGTAGTCGGGCTCCGTAAGGAATGCCGAGAAAATTCCTTACACTACCCCCCCCCCCCTCTCAAGAAGCCCCCTCCGCTACGCGAGTGCGTGTATGTCGCGGAATCCCCGGCTCCTCAGGTACACTTGCAGGGCAGGGTGGTTTTCAATGTTGGCCAGGGGCACCCAGCTATCCTCAGTTGGCGTGCGGTCCTTCCAGCGAACGAGGAATTCAATCCTCCTGATTCCCGTGGGGTGTCGAATCCGATGGCTCAGGATTTTTTCGGGCTCGATGATCGGCTCTGATGCAGGGCGAGTCATGGATGGCGGGCGGTGGCGAGGCAATTGGCTTGTGATTGGGATGTATGGGCGAAGCAAGCTGACGTGGAACGAAGGGCTGATGTACCAGTCGGTCGGTAACAGTAGGTGCGCGGTTACTGGCGTGATCATGTGGCTGATTTGGAATGGGCCACAGTAGCGCGGTCGCAGTTTTGGTACGTCGGGCAGTCGCAGGTTTTGCGTGTCGAGCAGTACGTAATCCCCTGACTGGTAGGTGACGGGTCGGCGGTGGCGGTCGGCGTTGCGCTTAGCGATGACATTTGCTTTTTTAATTGCTTCTGCAGCTCTGGTGCGGGCAGCTTGCAGAATTTCGGCGAATTGTTGTGCACGTGGTGTCGGATTGTCCGGACTCGGCGTCATGGGCACTGTAGGATTTTGCCCGTAGTTCAGGTAGAAGGGGGACTGCTGCGTCGTCGCTGACGTGGCGTTGTTGTACGCGAACTCGATCAGCGGCAGCTGCTGTTCCCAAGTCGTGGGGTCGTCGCACGTGGCACGAATCAACTGCTCCATCGTCTGATTCGTCCGCTCCGTTTGGCCGTCGGTCTCGGGGTGGTACGACGAACTGAACTGTAGCCTGGTCCCGAACTGCTCCCAGAGGTTTTTCCAGAAGTTGCTGGTAAACTTCATGTCCCTGTCGCTGATAATCGCTGCTGGTATCCCGTGCAGGCGAACAACGGCTGCGATGAACAGACGAGCGGTCTCCTCGGCTGAGATCGACTTTTTGCACGCAGCGAAGTGTGCCATCTTCGTCATCCTGTCAACGACGACCATCACCGCGTCGTTACCCCCAGGGTTCGAAGGTAACCCTGTGACGAAGTCCATGGTATCCTGCTGCCAGGCGCGCTCGGGCGGTGGTATCGGCTGCAATTGACCCGCCTTCCGCTTCCTCGAGCTCTTCATCACCTGACACGTGGGGCACGAGCCCACGTGCTGCTGTACGTCGGTCAACAGCTCCGGCCAGTAATAATACCGCTGCAGTTGCTGTCGCGTTTTTTCTACCCCAAAGTGTCCCGATGTAATTCCGTCGTGTGCCTCCTGCAGTAGCAGCTCCCTCAGTAGTGAGTACGCAGGTACCCAGATGCGGTTGGTGCCTGTTTTTACGTAATAAACTCCTTTAGCTTCTGCTAGTTGCTGTGAGTTTCCAGTCGTGAAAAAATGGGTCGGTGCGGTATCCGTGGGTGAATAGGCCTGTTAACAGCGGGTTGGTCTGGGCGAGTAGGATGGCGTGGAGTTGGGCGGTAGGGCGGGTGAGTGCGTCGGCGATGTTGGATGCGCCTTTCTTGTACGTAACCGTGTAGTGGAAGTTGGACTCGAGGTAGTCCAGCCAGCGAATTTGTCGCGGATTGAGATTTGGTTGGGCGCGTAAGTACTGTAGTGATCGGTGGTCTGTCCGTACTGTCACGTCGGCGCCAGTCAGGTAACACCGTGTTAGAATTTATATGTAACTGCCTGTAGCTGTAGTTTAGTGTAGTTATTATAAACTGTTGGTGGTGCACCTTCTTTGCATGCTCTGTTTACTATATGTACCCTAGTGCTATAGTGAACATCACTTTTCCCATTCTCGACTCTCACCTTGGCACAACCTCCTCGACTTCCCCTAGGCCTAGGCTACTAAGCCTAGGCCCTACCTAAAACCTAAGCTTACTCTTACTTAGTAACTCAACACACCGCCAAACCTTGAACGCGTGCACGATCGCCAACATTTCGCGGTCGTGTATCGGATAGTTGCGTTTGGGCGGGTGCAGTTTGCGGGACTCGTACGCGATTGGCTGGAGGCCGTTCCCGAAATCCTGCAACAGTACTGCTCCCACAGCGATGTCACTTGCGTCAGTGACGAGCTCGAACGGACGGTGTGGATCGGCGATGTGAAGCACGGGCGGTGAGCACAAAATGTTTTTGAGGGCCGAGAAGGCAGCTTGCTCTTTCTCCCCCCACGTGTACTCAACCCCCTTCCTCAGCAGGTCAGTCAACGGGGCAGTCAGCTTCGCCATGTCGGGGACGAACCGGCGCACGTAGTTGACGAACCCCAGAAAACTCTGCAACTCTGTCAAGTTGGTCGGCGCGTGCCACGCCTGAATCGTCGCAATTTTCTTCGGGTCTATTTCCACTCCTGCGGCTGAAATAACGTGTCCCAAAAACTCCAGACGGTCCTGTAAAAATTCTCACTTAGACGCTTTTGTCAGTAGGCGGTTCTCACTCAGTATTTTAAAAACTGCTTCGATGTCCTGTAAGTGCTGTGCTCTGTCAGGGCTGTAAATCAGTATGTCGTCCAGGTATACTATGACGCACTTATCTAAGAGTGGGCGAAAAGCTTCGTTCATGGTCATTTGGAAAGTGGCGGGGGCGTTGGTCAGTCCGAAGGGCATGACGGTGTATTTGAAGGATCCGTAGCGTGTTCGGAATGCGGTTTTAGGGCAGTCGGGCGGATTGACACGAATCTGATGGTAACCCCCCCGGAGGTCGATTTTCGAGAAAACCCGGGCTGTGCGCAGTTGGTCGATCAGTTCGTCGGCTCGTGGGATGGGGTAACGGGATTTGATGGTAACCCTGTTCAGTGCTCTGTAATCGATGCACATGCGAAATCCCCCGTCTTTTTTCGGTGTAAACAGTATCGGTGCTGCGAAAGGCGACGAACTAGGGCGAATGAACTCCTTCTCGAGCAGGTAATCGAGCTGCTTCCTCAGTTCGTCCAGTTCGGGCTGGGTCAGTCGGAACTGTCGCTGTACTGTTGGCTGTGCCCCCGGTTCCAATTCTATTCTGTGATCGTGCGGTCGCTGAGGTGGCAGTCCCGTCGGTAAGTCGTCCAGGAAAATGTCGCTGTACTGCTTCAACAGTGCTGTCAGGTCACTCGGTACGTCGGTCAGCAGTTTCTGCAAATCCCCTCCCTTGTCTGCTGCCTCGGCTTCCCGAATGTCGACCGCGTACACGTCAGCTCCCGCCGCTACGGCGCGTTTCATCGTGATCGCGTTGACACGCACCGACGAAGACTCAGGCGAGCCCCAGCGAGGTAGGGCGATGTGGTTACCGTTCACTCGCACGGTGCAGTCACCCGTCGTCCAGTCGATTCGCGGATTGTGTCGTCGCAACCAATCATGCCCGAGTAAAATATCGGTTCCGTCGAGGGTCGTTGCGAGCATTTCTTGGCTAAATGTGAAGTTACC